TTGTGTATCCCTAATTGTTCTATTCGAGACTTGTTAGTCAGGGAAGCTCATGGAGGAGGACTTATGGGTCATTTTGGTATAGCTAAAACCTTGAAAGTATTACAAGATCATTTTCACTGGCCTCACATGAAAAGGGACGTTGAGCGAGTTTGCTCAAGATGTGCGACCTGTAAGCAAGCTAAAGCTAAGGCTCAGTCCAACGGTTTGTATACACCTTTACCTATTCCTTATCACCCTTGGACTGATATATCAATGGATTTCGTGCTTGGATTGCCTAGAACTATGACTGGAAAGGATTCGATCTTTGTTGTAGTTGATAGGTTCTCTAAGATGGCGCATTTTATTGCATGTAACAAGACTGATGATGCATCGCATATAGCTAATCTGTTCTTTAGGGACATTGTTCGAATACATGGCATGCCTAGGACCATAGTATCTGATCGAGATACCAAGTTCTTAAGCTACTTTTGGAAAACTTTATGGTCTAAGCTAGGTACAAAGCTCTTGTTTTCCACTACTTGTCACCCACAGACTGATGGACAAACTGAAGTAGTGAATAGAACATTGTCTACATTGTTGCGAGCATTGATTAAAAATAATCTTAAGGCATGGGAAGACTGTTTGCCTCATGTAGAATTCGCATATAACCATTCAGTGCATTCAGCAACTAAATTTTTGCCTTTTGAAATTGTTTATGGCTTTAACCCTTTGTCACCTTTGGATCTAACCTCTCTTCCTTTGAGTGAAAGAACTAGCCTAGATGGAAAGAAAAGAGCAGAGCTTGTTAAACAGATCCACGAGAAGGCCAGAGCTAACATAGAAGAGAAAACAAAGCAATATGTCAAGCACGCTAACAAAAGCCGACGCAAGCTTACCTTTGAGGATGGAGATCTCGTTTGGGTGCACCTAAGGAAGGAAAGATTTCTAACAGAAAGGAAGTCTAAGTTGATGCCGAGAGTTGATGGACCCTTTGAGATAGTTAGAAAGATCAATGATAACGCTTATCAACTTGATCTACAAGGTAAGTACAAGATAAGTTCTTCTTTCAATATTGGTGACTTGATTCCTTATTTTGCAGATGATCCAGATTTGAGGACAAATCCTTTTCAAGAAGAGGGGGATGATATGATCTTGGATAGCATCAATAACGAGTTGGAACCAGAAGGAGAACCGCAAGGAGCTAAGGAGCTGAGGAGCAAAGATAAGGATCAGGAAATGGAACAAGAAGACCCTTTGCTCATTACAAAAGGTCCCATGACCCGAGCAAAGGCTAAGAGGCTCAAGGAAGCTGTTGGGGAAATACTTAAGCATGGAACGCTTGTGGAACAGAAGGGAAAAGAGATGGGCACAACTACACTAGTTGTGATCCAAGTCCGAGAAGGCTAATGGGCTTGTGATCCAACTATGTACTCTTTTTCCCTATCTCAAGTTTTGTCCCAATGGGTTTTCTTGAGATAGGTTTTTAATGAGGCATAGTTTGGATAACCTCACATCTAAGCCCATCAGCCGAGTCCAAAGAAGAAGAAGAGGAGCGTGTGAAGAAGAGTTTGAATTCAAACTTGGCCAGCTTTCAAAGAACTAGTTCCTAGACACTTTAATGCTTTGTAGACTCATATGTGTTTCTCTTTATATTCGTCTGTAAACTCTCTTTTGAGACTATCTTATCTTTTGATCAAATCTTTTCTAAGTAAGATCAAACCCTCTTGTTGGTGTGTAATATCCTTCAAGTCCTTTCGATTCATCTTTGGTGTGTAATATCCTTAGTTGATTCGGAAACCATTCATCAAGGGTCTTCCGCAACCCTTGGAGTCTTATCTAAACCCACAAACCTTGATACAATTTGTTTGTGTGCAAGGCTATCCCCTTTGATCCAGTTTAGTGAGTGTCGATTTCAGGGAGAATCATATTACATTGCTTCTGGAATGGAAACAAAATAACCGAAAAATGGAAATATGCTGAAAAAGGGGTTCTATAGTCGATTTAACAACCTTTCTTAGGGTTTTGCGGAAAAGAAAACGTGTGTCTTCCCCGGCAACGGTGCCAAAAACTTGATGTGGTCTGCGATGAGGGTGTCAAGTTTTACCCTAAATGAAATCAATAGCCGCAAGTGCACAGCTGATCGATTGTAGTACTTAGGGATCGAATCCACAGGGAAGGAGGATCTTTCTTGCAAAAGCCTTCGAAAGAAATATAAAGTAAGGAAGTCTAGAACCACGCGAGTTTTGTGAGGGTTTTGGTGATGTGTTTAAAACGTAAAAACGAATCTTAAAGAGAAAATACGGTAATTAAAATGACCTAATAACTAAACTTAACGAAAACGACTAAAAACAAGAAAAACGGTTAAACCTAATTGCTTAAATGAAAATTGATTAAGAGAATGAAAAGGATGAACTAAAGCTTGAAATAAAATCGATGTAAATCGATAGGAAATAAGGCGCTGGGGTTCAGGGAAGTTTTCTCAGGGGTATAAACGATTCAAAACATTGCTAGAGAGTAAATTTGATAAGATCTTAGCTTAAACTTTTCAAACTGGAGTCACGGATGTATGAATACGCCAAAGTCGTGATCATAGACAACTATCTCTCTCCACCCTGACTAGTAGGTTTTCACTCTGGCCCTGGAAGAGAAAAGATGCATTATGTTTAAGACTCGTCAGCATTCACAAATCGCCCATAGGTAGGTTTCCACTCCTATGTTTATTTTGCTCTCCCAAACTGGATCTGACACCGGATGAACACTTTCGTGTCACCAAGCATCTGGATCAGATTGTAGTTCATGACGCTACTCTCATTGAGTAAAAACGAATTCAGAAGAAAAAGTTCTAAGATTCGGCTCAATAGCTCATGGAATCCTCATCGAAATATGTATCCCCATCGAAAATCCCTTAGACCCAACAATAAAACTACTCAGACATGATAAACGAAATCAAAAACATGGTATTAAAAAGTAGTACAGAAATCGAAATTGAAAAACAAAGAACAAGGATTCAAGAGATAGATCTCTCTCTCCCTAAAACCTAAAAACAAAGCTTAAAGTAAAATTTCTGTAAAGTATTTCGTCTCTCTTCTTCTCTCTTTAAAAATGACCTAAATGATATGTATTTATAGTCTTCAATACTCTCTGGTGTCTAGGAAAATGATATGGGCTTCAGAAATGGGCCTCCGAACTCGGAGTTAGCTGGCCGTGGTCGGGATGTGCGTGACCGTGGGGAATGGATGGCTGGCCGCGGTCGGGATGGTTGTGACCGTGGGGAATAGCCTGTTGGCCGCGGGTGGAAACGCTTGCCGGCTGGTTTATGGGACATCTTGCTCTTCGCGTATCTTTTGATTGAACCGTTGGTTTGCCAAGCTGTAAATTGTGCTGGAAAGCTGATACTTCCATCTTTAAGATCTCCAAATTTGAGCTGGATCAGACGGTGAGAAGGTCTTCAATCGGGGGTGAACTTCTGACAGTTTGACTCTGAGCTAAAAATCTGGTATTCTATTCATTTTGTTAAGCTTTTCTCTAAGTTTCCTGAAAAGAGTCTTGGAACAATAAATACTAGAAAAACGTAATAAAAGTACTTGAAAGCAATAAAAAACATAGAAAAAGTATTTCAAATCGTTCCATAAAAGTGGTCAAAATACGGTGTTATCAACAATCCATTACAATACTAAGGTAAGCAAAAAAACAGTTAATAACAATCCATAGACCAAGTCCATTACGCTCGAGACTTCAAACAATCATAACAATTCTAAGCTAAGTAACATAAACTATGCAATTAGGTTTGTATTACCATAAACTATGCAATTAGGTTTGTTGAATTCATACCATGTTGTGTTC